TATAGTTTTCTCAACAAGTAAAACAAAAAATCATCGAGCATATCTTTGCCGCAATTCCCGCCTGTGTCTTCTCTCTAAAACATAATGGATTGCATGCTTGGTAATTAGAAAGACACCAAAGATAGTCAGTCCAAATGATGCGTATTTGCACCACCTAATAAATAACCCACTGTCAATTTCTTCATTTTTTGAAATAATCACCAAAACTTATGCATGCGATATAAAGGAATCACTGAGACTGAAATATTTACAACCTTGCTCACTTCCCAAGGTTGGAAACGAGTTGATCAATTTTTTTTTTATAGAAATAGGAGACCTCATTAAAACACCCCTTCATAACCTATGAAATATACACTATTTCACAGGACATTGGAAGGAGGAAAAGAGTGTCTCAAAATTTTATTGAATAACACAACCATATTACATTAGAGTTTACATCATACACGATACTACTACCACTAGCAAACATACACAAAACCCCCCCATAACCAACCTCTCTTGCAGAGTTGATCAATAGATTTTGGGGACACGTAAAAAGGCCCTTTTTGTGGATTCTGAATCCAAATTGTGCCAATGTCATCCTTGACAGCCTTACCATGTATAGGGGAGAGAGAATTACAAATAGTACATGAACCAACTATGTAACCCAAATATGGATAATGAGCTAAAAAAGCTGCAGCTTTCTAGATCATGAAACATCTCAAACTCAAAAGGTTCTAATAAAAGTTTCATTACATTTAGACATTAAAAAAGAGCAGCACTGTTAATTATCTGATTCTTCGAGTAAAACAAACCAACATGCAGTGATGTACAGGGTGAAGATATAGATTTACCATGGTGTGATGGTCCATGGTGATTAAGCAAAGATACAAAGAGTGCAAGTGTTTGATGATATAAAGAGAGTAAAAGTGCAGTATGACCTTGAATATTAACTGCTGTTATGAGTTATGTATTAATTCTTTTGATGATACAAGGTGAACTGCGAGGCACTCATATAAAGCTATGATGTTAGAACACATCATGTATGACACAGCTTTGAATTCAAAAGCTCTGTATACATTATTCGAATTCATTAACTCAAGATGCTCTAAGCATAACTTCAATTCATTATTTGGATAATTTAAGCTGCAATATTTGACAACTCTCCAAGAATTTTCGCACATCAAACTATCTAAGTTATCTTTCAATGCCCACAATTGCCACCTAAAAGCTACAAGGGAGAATACTACACAAAGTTATGAAAACCTGCTATCTGGGTGGAAGCTTCTTGAAGTAAAGAAAAAAATGAAAGCTGGAATAGTAAACCTTCAAAGGAAAGCTTGATATCTTAAATATGCTAAAGAAATAACCTGCTTGAAGTCGCCTGTAGCAAAATGTGTTGACAGAAATCTGGCAGGTCAATGGAAGATCTGTAATTTGAAATTGATCTTAAAATGAAATAAATAATATTAGGGGGGAAAAAGTCTTTCTGCCATCAGGGATCAGCTCAAGGTTTGGTAATTATTGATAAAAAAAGATATTGGTATTTTTTAGGAGCTGCAGCTTAAACTTCCAGTCAAAGCCAAAACTGTGCCATGAGCCTTCAAATACTAGCACCGGGTAATATCACTCGTTCAGCACCAGCATTTCATGTTTTAGGATAAGACTTTACACATCCAATCACATTTAAATATAACATTCTCTTCATTTAGCACTTTATAGGATACATGCATCAGGCTGGACAACAAGTGAAACCTAAGTATTCCGATTTACTAGGGAATAATCTAGCATTTTTTCCTTCTATTAAAAAGAAAAAGGAACTCCTACCATAAAAAATGAATAAGATACTTTAATGACCATTTATCCAGGAATTTCAACTTAAAAGCATGGATCAGAAAGAGCAGGCTGCACCAAGTATATCATGTAATATACTGATGACATTTCTGAATGTTTGAATCTGCATTTATCTTTCTGCATCATTTTCTAACAACAAAGCCAATTGTTATTTAAAAACATACCTCTCCAACAACAGTTAAAGAATAACCAGTGGGAAGCACCCTCTCAATTCGCTTGACTCCAAGCATCTAAAAGAAAAATTGACCATTAAAGCTGCTTGATTGAACATTTCACCATTTTTTTTTTGATAGGAATGGAAGGCCTCGTTAAAAACCCCCTTCTTGATTAATGGAGCTTGATATTAAGCTCCTTAATCAGCGGAAGGAGGAAAAGAGTGCCTTAAATTTTATTAATAATGAAAAGTTACATAAGATTTAACCATTACACCAAATTGCAGTACATAAAACTTAAAAACTCCTCCTTCCATAAAAAACTTCACACTGGACCAGAAAAACCACAGTTGAATCCTAACAACTAACCTATCCCTTTCTTTGCTAAATTGTCTGCCTCCCCATTGCACGCCCTTGGAATCAACCTCACTGAATGTACCTTACCATTGACGAGAGTCGAAATCTGATAAACTAGAGGCGAGAAAAAAACAGGAGCCAAAACCGGGGCCTGAATCCATTCCACTGCAGACTTACAATCACTCTCAACAATCAACCTACCAACAAATTCCCAACGTGATGACAAAAATATTTCAATGCCTCTTTTTATAGCCTTTAACTCAACATGTCACCATTAAAAAAAACACTTTAGGGACAGGGAAAAGATACCTTGAGACCTTGGAGTTAGTCTAGTGTTCCACGTACAATTGAACGACCTGACTCTTCAAATACTTCATTTCCAACCGTGAGTGCAAAACCTGCTGCAACACGAGCACCCACTACATATACATGACCAGTCCCATCATCCTATAATTAATGATTAAAGACGTTTTCAGAAAATACACTATATTAACAACTTTAATTCTTATGCAGCACAACATAATCCCTCGAGAGTTACTTCAAAAGACAAAACACCTTAAGAACCCAAGCAACCATAGAGGAATAATTTCAGCACAAAAGTCAAACTAAAAGACAGAGAGAAATATGTTCTAACCAGGTACCGTGGGACTTCTTTACACATAGAAAGCATCAATGCGGAATCTTGTATCCACGAACCAGCATCATTATGCTTTAGAAAATGTTGTTCAGCCTAAGGACACCTAAACAAGAATTAATATACACAAGTAGAAAAAAGGACTAAAAAAAGAAATAGCAATCAACGCTCTTTTAATTAAAAAATATTACCGTTTCCTCTACTATGACACCTCTTAATCCACTGTGCAGACAAATTATTGGTGTCTCAGAACCAACTATTCCAGAGATTGAAACAATTTTAGGAATCATTTTACTTTCAAGGTCAAGCAATTGAGCTGAAAGAAATATGGTATCATCAAGATACATGTCTACATTAAGTGTATCACCTAGCATTAATTTTATGATGAACAATTCTAAAGAGTCATAACAAGTGAAAATGCAGACCACCAATAAAATTCATGTCTCCACCATCCATTTTTAATCAGTTACTCTTTAAGGTGGATGGACCCTTTCATTTCTAATGGGGGAACAACCTAGCTGAAACAAAAAGGACCAAGGAGATCGAACTTATATCCACATTCACATTTACCTAGGATGTTCTCTGTTATTAATTTGCAAAATAATCAATAAATTCTTAAACAATTGACAAATGAAAAAGCAATCCTCTTCAACATTGATATGCTATAAAACAATCATTGGTTAATTACCCAATTCTTTAAGCTGATTGACTCGAGTTACCGTCTTGAGAAGCTCCGCATCCCTGTTCCACCGTTATTAATCATAGAATTAGATTAACAATTTTTGTAACAATCATTCCAACGCATTTGATATGATTTTACTACAGGTTTCAATTGATCATAATCACTTCAGCCAATGCGTTGCAAAGGATGTATAAAGTTATCCGCTACTGAATTTTGATATTTACAAATAGTATGAGCAAATCATTGGTTTATTACCCTTATTTATAAGATAGATTGATAGAAATCTAACCTGCCACTGCTCCTCCCAAGAAGATAGAGAGCGGTTGCACTCAAGCAGCAAGGCCGCCCCATAGAACCATCATTAAAGTGAAACTCGAAACAAATGAGCCCTTATGTTTGAAGACCTTTGGTCACAACATTCGTTCCTCATAACCAGGATCACATTGTAGGAGAAAACGGAGGTAATTTGATTCCAAAATTGCCGAATTAGATATGAGAGCGAAAGAGATTTAGGATTTGGGAAGAAGATGAGCTTTATTTAAGTTTTACCCAAGGTACGCGAAGAGTGCACGTTTCATCACGCACTGCCACTCTTACACCGGAATAGGTCAGATTTTGATTTTAGGCTCCTGTTATATATAATTGCTCGAGAGAATAAATTTGAAGAATGAGACTTTATATATATATATATTTCAATAATTCAGGTAATTATAATGCATATACATTTTAAATCTAAAATTTTATAAACAAACATCATTTTCTTTAATAATTGAGATTATTAAATAAATTTGACTTTATACATAATTTACACATGAGAACAATTTCCAAACAAATTATCTCTTAATTTTAAATGATTATTATAAATAGCATAAACGAGATTAATCTGACAACAACCCTACCCTAGCATCTTATAGTTAGTGATCGCAAATCAACTTAAACCAAGTGAGTTTAGCTTTTTTGTTCTTTATTTAATCTATAAATTTCATAATTTTTCTTAATTTAATCTTAAATTTTTTATGTTAATTTCGAAATTTATTTTTGGTCTTTTAATGATGGGTTATTTTGAAATTATAACACATCACTTGAAAACTAGCAAAAATGTTAAAAGTTGGTGGTAAGGCACATTTTATTCCTCAAAAGAGAATTCAAGTTCGAATCTTGGATACAACATTGTTGGAAAGAACAATCACTAACCCTGAATATGAATAGTAAATTGAAAATGAAAATGCCAAAAAGATCACCAGAAAATTTAAAAAAATTAAATTAAGTATTGGATTATTTTCATTCGTTTCCAGCAATGGATTTGCGGATAGCATGCCTTTTCATTCCTTCTACATCCAAAAATCACAACTGAAGCTTTCAATATATTTAAAATAACAGTCATTTGAAAAGGCTGCAGTTCCAGGTAAGCTCACCATAACCGGTCATCTTTCTTTGCATGAAGAATATATTTACGACTAGTACCAGTTCTAGTAGTCACTTTCAAGTCCCCCCTCCCCAACCACCTATATTTGTTCTGAACACTTCCATTTCTATGAGATACCTAATTCCGAGGAGCATACGCTCCGGCAATGACGAATCGTAGTTTAAATATATGCAAGGTCGATGAGGTCCTCCTCATATGAGCTCAAGATCATCACAAGTCCATAACGGATTAGCATAGATGTCAAGGTTTTGTTGTTGAAATATGAGTTGTCTTCAGAATTCAAGCAAACCTTAGCATTGCTATAGCCATCAACGTTCCAGCCCTGAAGTAGATGTCGTTAACACTCTTCTCGACTCTCTTAAGCAACTCTTTTTCCTTCAGACTCGACTTGCTAGCATTCTTGCTCATTTGTACAATTGTGTCCCTTAGTCTGTTAATTGCCCATGAGAGCCAAACTAGCCCGAACCCGAGGCTGGTGCTAAAGAGTTTAGATGTACAGAATGGAGCTCTGGTGTAAGCTACCTCACAAAGAAGAGAAAAAAGAACAGCAAGACCAGTCCCGGCAATGCCGACGGAGAATTGGGCCAAGAGGCGAGGAAGTTCAGGGCCAGATTTCTTCAGGGAAAGAATTGCTGTTTTTCTATCCCGTCGCTTATTTACCATCAAAGAAAGAAGGGTCTCACATGCATGGAAATAATTTGCTGTGTAGAGATTTCTCTCCCTGGTTAACTTCTTGGACGTCTTCTTTTTTCGCGATGGCTTGAGTTTGAGTTCCTCAGGACTGCCAAAAAGTGAGTTGCACAAAAACACATTTTAAACAAAATCGGTTGAAAGAAAGCACCAAGAACTATAGATTTTGCAGATGTTCATGAATATCTCAGGACTGCCAAAAAGTGAGTTGCAATTAACATGAATGAAGAGTTGCATCTCACAAATCATTATTCCTTTGTGAGAGAAACTCTAGGCCTAGATTTAAAGATCTCAAAATAAGATAATTTCCAATTATTTATAGTTGACAGTTTCCGTTATATTAACTAGTAGAATAATGGCCATAGAAAGGGAATTCATAAGGACAATGAAGCATTCTTGAAACATATGATCAGTCACATACCTTTTTGGAGGTGCAACACTGGAAAGTTCAAACTGCGGTGAGAGGCAGGTACTAGCATGTGCTTTTTTGCTCCGTTTCCTGTTTATCAGAAGACCTTGTGGTCACATGACATTCGAACAACAATGAAATCAACAGTAGTGTTTATTAGCAACTATTTAAAGCAAGAGGGTTTAAGTATCAGTATCCATACCAGTAGAAGTATGGGACCAATCCTGACTGCATTCTCCATTTAGTTGAGTTGCTTGATAAGTGAAATTCAGCAACAACTGAAAGGATGTCTTTTATCTCGGTCCCACTATTCCCAAATACAAGTTGACCATCTGAATTAACTGCAAGTTTTGAATCACAGTCCATCTCTCCTACAAAGCCTGGAAGAGGCTTCTGGGCATCAAAATTGCTGTTTGGATAAATTAGAGAAGCATAAGGCTGCTGATGCACACCAAACATCAATGGTTGAATCAAATCAGATAGCAAAGATAAATCAAGTTCCCCTCTGTCCACATCCTTTAATCCAGACATAAGAAATTTCAAGAACTTTTCATGTAACGCGCACTTCTCGGCTATCCCAGAGCTAAAGAGTGATGTCTCTAGATAAGCAACTGCAAACAAAGCAGGGTTGGGATAATCATTATGAAATAACTCCCTGAGTCTCGTTGAGCAAAAATATAAAAGGAACTGACATCGAAAATGCATATACCTAGCCTATATCACCCTCAAAAATTGTTGTAGTACTTTATTGATTGGAATCAACTAATCTAGCTCCTAACACTTTTATATCCCTTAAAGAATCACCTTTCATATCTATGCTATAGCTTATTTCATCATTTCTTTTTACTCTTTCCAATTGTGTCAAAAAGAGAATCATGCCAAAGATTTGAGTTTTCATCTGAATTCCAATAAACAACCTGTGACCAAGTTGAAACAGGATTTTTAATTGCATTGTTAGTTAGTGAAACTTAATGCCATAAAGACACATTCTTTATGGTGTTATGAGAAATATATATATATATATATATATGTTTGTACACTCTTAAGAACAATAATTGGTTTTAAGTCCTTCCCTATGCACATAGCAAAAGATATAACTAGTCCATAGGGAACAAGCAACAAGTTTCAGACCTGGTTTATCAATAACCACAGGTGTTTGTGCTTTTGGATCAACATGGACGATCAGTTTAGGCTCACAAAGAAGGGGAACCGTTTTTGGCTGCCCTTGGATTCCATTGCACTTCAGATCGAAGGGACTTGTTCGCACCATCTCTGGTTTCATTATTTTACTTGGAAAGGAAGATGGCCATTCCTGCGCTTGTGGAAACAGTAAACATTCAATAGAAAAGTTCTAATAAAAATCGATTTGACTTTATCAAGGAATAGGGAAAGAATCCAATAAATCGAAAATATTCCTGCTAAAATGATTGGTAATTGCTGAAAAAAATTAAACAAAATAGAAAAGAAAACAGCACGAAAGAAAAATCACCTTGATCACCCTGCTGACGCCTTGTTCAAGTCCAGGGCCAGGAGGGCACCCGTGAGAAGCCATTAAGGAAAGTTTGATCATTTCTCCTTTTATTTATTTATTTATGGAGAGATCCCAGCTGTTTAAAATTCCCAAAACTCCTCTTTGAACTGTTTTTTAACACAGAACCAAACACTCATCCATCATTAGAGCTCGAGATCCTGTATTTTCCCTCCCGACTTTCGCTTTTAGATGTAATAAGTGAAGGAATTGAAAGTGTTTATGATTGAAAATCTCGATTTATGGATCCGATTTCGTAAGGATTGAGAGAAGTTTTAGTGTCTGTGGCAAGCGATGCCTTGAGATTCCAGGCTGGGCACCCTGGAACACACACCCGTACATGGTGGCTGTCTTTTATTGAATTCTTCAGCGACTCTCGGACACACCCTTGGTTTGATTCGGTACACTGGAACGGAGCAGTTATAAAAATCTGGATGGGGACCACAGAGCCCGCTTCAGAGGGGTTGAATGTACGTTAAGGTCATTTGAATGGTAGATTTGACTCAATTTTATAATTAAAAATAGTAAAACAATTCATTTTCTAAAATACTACAAAAATCAATTATATATTTAAATTAAAAAATAAGTTTTCAACTCTATTTTTCAATATTCAAATATAGATAAATTAAGTGACTTAATACATGATTTACCTAAATATATATTTACTCGTTTATAAATATAAATGAAAAATGTGACATAAAATAAGTCAACATATATTGATGAGACGGTTATATATAAGCAATTAAATATCGAACTAACAAATTTGTTTTGGGTAAACTATACGTTTAGCACTAAAATTATCTGTTTTGTTTTGTTTTCATACTTACATTTCTATTTGTTTTAAAATCATATCTAACATTTACTTTTTGTTTCGTTTTGGTATCTCGCCGTAAAAAAATAGCGGAATTGTTACAACATGACATTTTTTGGGGTAAATTATATCATTCATCACTCAACTATCTTCTCAATCCTATTTTGGTCACTAAAATTTATTTTTTTAATTTAATTATTTAACTTTCAAATTACTCTTAATTTAACCACTCTAACTTTCAAAATTTAATTTTTTATTTTAATTATATATTAATAAAATAATAAAAAATGTCATATCACAAAAACTATTAATAAAATAAATTAGAATGATTAAAACATAGGCAATTTGAAAGTTGAGTAGTTAAATTGAAATTTTTTAAACTTTAGTGACCAAAATAGAAGTAAGAAGATAGTTAAGTAATAAATAATGTAATTTACTCATAAAAAAAATGTCATGCAGTAGTTCCATTAAATTTTTAACTACGAGTATTAAAATAAAACAAAAAGTAAACGTTACATATAACTTTGAAACAAATGAAAGTTTATGTACTAAAACGAAACGAAACTAATAGTTTAAGTGTAGTTTACCCATTTATTTTTTTTATTTTTTTTCTATGGATTTAGGTGTAGGATTTCAAGACCCGTTGAATAAACTCTTTGACTAAAATATAAATATGCCAAACTATTCGAAAATTCATATATCTAACTTTTTTCTGAGACCGGATACCGAAATTTTCAAATTAGATGGATTTGATATCCGAATTTGCACACTTCTAACTAATGCTCAAACTCCAATCGTGGTCAGTTCTTCGTCAACTATCCATTCGAGTTCTTGGCGTAAACCTCCTCCGAATTTTGTTAAGTTAAATGTCGATGGTGTCTGCCTACTTGATGATGGTGCTATGGTTGTTGGGGCGGCGATATGTGATTCTGATGGTTATGTCTTGGTAGGTCGAGCTTCTTGTATCGATTGTCCTTGGAATGTGGGTTCTATCGAATCTCATGCTATTTGTTTAGATCTCCGCCTTGTCATTGAATTGGGATTTTCCAAGGTTATTGTATCAATTGGACATGTCTGTTCTCCGTTTTATTTTGGTTGAGGCCCGCTACATTCTTGACACTTACCCGGATTTTTGCCTCCATTCCATCAGACGGTCGACTGATATGGCAGCTCATACATTGGCGCAATTTGCATCTTCCACTTCCTCCTCAATGTCCTTCACATATGATGTCCCATCTTATTTATTTGAAGTTATTGTAACTATGCTATTTTAAGTTAATGAAAAGATGACTATTTTCAAAAAAAATAAAATAAAAAGGGTCAAAAAAGAAGAAGAGTAAACTACACAATTTCTCATTGAACTTATTTCTCTCTCATATTTCACTCATTGCACTCTCAATTTTTCCAATTTACTCACTAAACTTTAGGATTGTTCATGTTTTGGTCACTACAAATTATTTTTTATTATTCTATGACATGGCATTTTTTTACTGAGACACTCGATTTGACATGCTGAACCCGAATTTAATTGTTTCATTTAAAAATATCTCAAAATCTGTGAATATCGACTGAAATATTTCGGTTTTCTCATTTTTGAATCCGTAAATGCAATTCTCATTTTGTGCCTCTATGTTTCCTTTGTATTGTGAATGAGAAGTGTTTCCATAAGTGAAGCTTATTCATTCCTTACATCTTGATATTTTTTTATATACCTTAAAAAATAAACTAAGCTCTTATTGAAAAATCCAAATCTCTAACAAAAATTATTGTTTTTTAGGCTTAACATATTATTTAATTATTTTTAGTTGTCATGCTTTTTAATTTTTGAAATTTCACTCTTGATTCAAGATGAAAATCATTAAATTTGTTAAGTTAAATTTGTAAATAATCATTATATTATTTATAAATTATAAATTTAGTTTTGTTATTTAGTTAGTCCTTTTAATTTTTTATAATTTGATTATGTTAGTTATATATCATTTGAATCATGATTTAAAATTTTAGATTTTGAAATATAAAAATTATATTTATCAAATAAAAGTATAATGTCATGTGTACTAATGGAAATATTTAACCACTCAAAAAATGCCGGAAAAACCTCGTATTCCGGTGTGAAAGACGAGGCTATATCGGTAATTAAGAAACGGAGTAGTATGTAATTCGTTGTATTTAGTTTGCAACTCGGTTGTACAAGTCCAGTTATCAAATTGCTAATCGCAACAAAACCCAGAAAACTAACTTCTTTTGGTTAGAGGGATCAAAATCATGGTAAATCTTCTTTTCTTTCGCTCTTTTTCGTATAAGTATTTTTTTTTCTAGCGGGCAAAATTATTTTTAAATTCATTTGAGTTCATAGCTATTTGCCCTAACCCAATGGGCTTTGCTCTAATTTATTTTCGCTCCTTCTATTGTTGCGGGGTTGCAGTTGTTCTTTTCGTATTTCAAGGACTTAGTGGGAAGAGAAGTGACGGTGGAGCTGAAGAATGATTTAGCAATTAGAGGAACCCTTCACTCCGTCGATCAATACCTCAATATCAAGCTCGAGAACACTAGGGTTGTCGATCAAGACAAGTATCCTCACATGGTATACCCCCCCTTTTCTCTGCTAATTGATTTCCGCCTCCATTTTCTTATCATCGTTGGGGTTTTATCAAGGAATTAGAATAAAAATTTAGGGATCTTTTTAGTTTCTATTCCTTCCTTCATTTCGGCTCTTTTAAAAAAAGGGATTGTATAAACATGAGATGATGGAAGCTGAATTTAGGGCTTGTGAATCCCCCCCTTTTTTTTCATTCCGCCTTCCTTTATTTAGGTTGTCTCTCTGTAGCCTACTTTACACCACCTATCTACCATTGGGTGCTTTGCCAATATAGGTACTTCATAATGTAGCCGTTGATTAGTATACTATTCGCCATTGCTTTACTTCTCTATACGTGGTGAGTCCAGTAAAATTTTCCTTTTTCGGCAGCCCAAAGTCCAAAACCTGTCATCGTAGTTAAAAATTTCACTCTCCATTACTTCCTTGCTTCTCAAATGCTCACTCTTTACCTCTGTTAAGGTCTTTCTTTACTTTTTTGCTTTGCGTGAATGGTTTGAATCAAATCCCTACGTATTCCCATTATTTCTCCCATGTGGGTTCGCAAACGTGCGAGATGAAAGTCTCATGCACTGTTTTGAATGAGAGAAAGAAGTGAGGAATCCTCTTTTCTCTGCCCTGTGCTATGCCAATGAAATGATGATAAACACTAACGAAACAAACTCTCCAGTTTGTTTATATATTTTCTCAAATGACATTCCAATTATATTCGATTAACTGAACCAAATAAAAAAATTGACATTATCAGTAATGTGCTAAGTAATCTAAATAGGAGGTAATCCTATTTCTGAAGGGAAACGATCATTCATTGATGCTAACATCCCCATATAGTAATTGATCTTTCCCCATAATGCTTGAAAAAGAGTAGCAATGTAATCCAACTTGTTTGCTGCTAGGAAAGATCCTTTTATGTTGGATCCAGATAAAACTGTCAAACTCAGTGTCACTCTTTAAAAGTGCAGTGATCTCGTAGTGCATCAAACACAAATAGAATCTGTTGATCATTTATGATTTAGATTTTGCTAGTTTTTTGGTTAACTCATCTTTTATTTTTAAATTGTATATTTTTTAACTTTTTTTATTTCTTTTGTCTACTTGTGTTGTGTATGCAATGATCAATTGAATTGACGTGTTTCTGTCCATTGACAGCTTTCAGTGAGGAACTGTTTTATCAGAGGTTCGGTTGTGAGATATGTTCAGCTACCTCCAGATGGAGTAGACATTGAATTGCTTCATGATGCCACGAGAAGAGAAGCTCGGGGAGGCTGACATTCATTTGTCGACGAATTTGATGTACTTTTAATGAAGCATTCGATTCAAGATACTTTTTCTTCAAATGATTTCTGAATTGAGCAAAGATAGTGACAAGTTGATGAAAGACTGATCCCTCTTTGCGTTAATTCACACAAATTGCATTTTATTTTATTTTCCTTAGCGGAGACGTGTAATATGTTTGTGTGAAATGTCCAATGTTGAGTATGAACTTAGGATGATGCCAGTATTTTTTCAGTACTTGTGATCGATTCTAATTTGGGAAACACGGTATGTTCTAATATTCAAGGGAATCAATCACCAATCAAACCTGATTTAAAGCCAAACTTTAATAACGTCATTGATTTATGAAGTATGCGAGATCTCTATATCTGATCACAAGTGTTGGTGTCTGGACTTCAGCAAAGACAGCAACCGTGGCAGCTAAGTGCCCAATTTCTTTCCAAAGCTGCAATTTTTACTACTGGCTATGCATGTTTGGTCTTCTAGGGTGGGTTGATAGGTAGCAGCGGATACAGAAATATTTTTTAGGATGAACGCATATATATTGATAACATAAATATGAATATAAATAAAATTTTAAGATAAACACCGTCAATAGAATAAAATACTAATATAAATAAATTTAGATTTCAAGACG